CTTTGTGCCTGAGATGGCCCAGCATCGCCCCGCGTGCTGCGTGTCCCCCTGTCCTGCTCTGCTTTGCCCTGTCCCTGCTCTGCAGCAGGGTGTCCTCCTGGGTGACTCCTCACAGCTGCCCTCTGTCCCCAGCCCCTCCTGCCCATTCTGTGCCTGAGGACAGTAGCTGGGATATGGAGTGCTGAGAGGGACCCCTCAGGCAGAGAGCCACAGCTTGGCCATGATGGTGCTTACCCCAAACAACAGGACTTCCCCATCCTTCATCTCACAGCATCCCCTCCAGCGCTGCCCACCCTGGCACTGCCCACCCCTAGCCCCTCTTCCCCATCTCCCTCCCACCCACCATGCCTTTGGCCCCTGCCCTGCCCAGACAGGCCCGTGCCAGCTCTCTCACAGGGCCAGGAGCTGAGCGAGCACCTTGGCCCGCAGCAGAACCACGTGTCCTTGTGCTGATTTGTAGCTCACTGGCGTCTGGGCGGGAATCGCCGCAGGGCTGGGCTGCCAAGGCCTGGTGCTGCTGCTGGGCTGGCACACCCTGGTGACTTGGCCGCGTCCAAGACAGGGCGGGCCGGGGCACAGCCGGCATCTTCCCCTGCCCCGAGCATCTCCTGCTTGTGCATCTCCTGCCAGGAGAGCCACAGGGCAGTGTCCTGCCATCTGGGTGCAGCAGCAGCCCCCCAAGCCCTCGTTGCACACTGGTGCTGACCCTCCTGTGCTGTACCGCTGCCTGAACTTCATGGGTGGCCGGGGCCTTGCAAGAGAATTATAGGGTTGGGACAATGGGTGCGCAGTGTGTGCCAGGGTCTGGCAGAGGCTCCCAGGGTGCTGGAGCACGCCAGGGCTGCCTCTGCTGCACCCCATCTCTGGCCCTTGCTGCCTCCATACCCTCCTGCATCCTCCACCAGCTAGTGGGCAGCCTGGCCCTGCTCTGCCTGGCAAAGCTTCTTCCTCTTCCTCTCTTGAGTGTCCTCCTGTCCGTGCCCAGTCCTGCTCCTGCTCGCAGCCCTCGGGCAGCGGGGATGCTGGCAGCGTGCAGCGGGGGTCAGCAAGCGCTGGCTGCTCTCCCATTTGCAGGTGGTGCTGTGCTGTCCCCCCCGCAGCACCCGCATCCAGCAGCCTCCCTGCCTCCTCCAGCCGTGGCCTGGCCACAGAGGGGTCTGGCTCACCTCTGTATGTGGTGCGGTGGCACCAGGCTGCCTGGGATCACTGCCGTGCCTCAGGGGTCATGCTTGTGCACCCCATAGTGCTGGCTGCTCACAGCACCCCAGGAGCCAGCGCTGGCACAAGCAGCTCCATGGTTGTGCACACCATGGGACCTCCTCTGGGCTGGGGCCTGCACAGCAGCAGGAGACGCGGGGGTGTTGGGTGCTACTCTGTGACATCTCCATTAAAGTGCGGTTTTCCACCTCCAGTGCAAAGAGCTGTTTATTTGCTCCTCTGTGGTGTGCAGCCAGGGAATGACCCAGCAGGGACAAGAGCTGCATTTGATTTCCTCTGCTAAGAGATGTTACTGTGTTGAGGAGAAGCCTGTACAGGCTGGTGGGACTGGGAAAGGGTTGGTGGGCTGTGCTGCAGAGCCCGGGCTGGTCCCTAGGCTCCAACCTGGGGTGAGGGACCAAGGAGGGCTCAGCCATCCAACAACAGCAGGATGGCTTTTGGAAAGTGAGCTGAGACCTGTGAGAGCTTCAAGGCAGAGACACTGACTGACTCCTGTGCAGTCCCCTCCCTGGGGCAAAGCCCCCAGGGTTTCCTCAGCCCCACTCCAGGCTGGTGGCAGCTTGCTTGGCTCCTTTTAGAGCTGGCTGCCATTGGCTTGTGTCAGCTGATTTTCTCCGTGTATCACCGTCTGCTACATCAGAACGTAAGTGTTTCTACTCCTGTCCCCGAGGGTGCCTCCACGTCTGCTGCCTCCCCAGTCCATTCAAACACAGGCCCGTGCAAGGTGGTGGTGGTGTATGCTGCTCCCCTGGGAAGGTGGCAAGCTTCCCAGGAGCCCAGCTGATCCACAGGTCCCTCTGGCCATCCCACTGCTGGCTGGGTGCATGGCATGGGCTGCAAAACACTCGGTGCATCTCAAAATGATGGTCCCAGGGTGATCCCCTCCCCATGGCATGGCTTTACCTGGCTAAACTGTGCCTGGTCCCCTCTTTCATGCAGAAGACTTTTGCTAGCACCATTTCCCAGTGAGATTTGATCAAGTCCTGGGAGTCTCGCAGGGGGCTGCTGGAAGCGAGCGTGCTGACCTCAGCGTGGGGCTGGTGGACCTGTGACGGCAACGCTCTGCTACCATCTCTGGGCTGATGGACATCCGGGGCCGGGACCCTGCTTCCCTGTCAGGATGCTCACTGGCAGCTGCCTCTGGCCTCATCTCCAGTCCTGCTGGGGCCAGGCTATTTTTCGAAGTGCTCCAAGGACACAGGTTGTTGTTGCCGATAAGCAGCAAGGGGCAGCTCCGCCCGAGCAGGAACAGCTCGTTGGCCGGCTTCGCATCCGCCCCAGAAAACATCGTCCCATCTTGGTGAGTGGCGTCCCTGCAAATCTGCCGTGAGCTCGGTGGCAGTCTCCACGATGCCACGCTCGGTAAGTGGTGGCCATGCTGCTTGGGTCGTCTGGGGAGCCTGGGATGGGGGGGAGCCACTGTTGGCTCTGGTGAAAACAAGTGAGATGGCGGAAAGGAGAAGCCAAGCCCAGCACTGCTCTCGAGCACCGGCATAAGTCCAGGATAGCCCCAGTTGTGTGGGGTGTCTGCAGGTGGGCATCGCTGTGGGGCAGGCAGCATCCCCATCATGCAGCGGCACTGGCAGGTGTCCCAGGCTGGGAGGGACTGGCAGAGGTCTGGAGGCCATTACCTCCAAAAGTGCCTCCCGTGGGCGGGGAACAGGCGTCTGGTCAAGCTCAATATTGCTCAGACAGCTTTGATGCTGCTCTGGGTGCTTGTGGAGAAAGAGGTACCTGATGGGCAGTTAGAAATACAACTGGTGGAGCCTCTCCTTTCATCGCTGAGTGCAGAGCTGCAGTGTTGTCCCCATCACCCAATGTGTGCAGCACATCCCCGTGCTTCACATGTGCCCCCCGCCTTGTGCCAGTGGAGACATCTTGTGAGGCCACAGGTTCCCCAGAGACCCCCACGGGACCACACAGGTCCCACTGCGACCACTGCTCAGCAGGACATGGGGAGCTTTTGTGAGCGTGGCACAACCTTGGCTGTCTCAGGGCAGGCTAGAGTGGGGCTAGGGTGCAGGTAAGAGCCCCAACCGACTGCATGGGGCAGGTGGGAAAGATCTGGGAGGGAAGCGCTCTCTGTTCCCATAAGGAGAGCACTGGAGTGGTGGGGGCAGCTGCAGCTGGAGGGATGCACCATGGCCAGAGCAGTTCCCCATGCTGGTGGTGCCCCAGGGGTTGCTCCTGCTGCATTTCTGGCTGCAGAAGCCCCTTTCCCAGCAGCACCCACCTGTGGGTGCAGATTTCTGCCTCAGCGGGGCAGGGGGATGAGGCTCGTCTCCTTCTCCAGTGCAGGCTGGTGGTCTACTTACTGCTGGGGCTGGGGTCCCTGCTGGTGGGGGGGTTGCCCCCACCCTGCCCTCCTACCTGCCAGTGCTACGACATCTCCAAAGTCTTCTGCTCGGATGAGAAGATGCGGGAGATCCCGGCAGGCTTGCCAGGGAATGCCACCCAGCTCTTCTTTGTGGAGACGGCCCTGAGCAGCATCCGCAGCGGAGCCCTGGGTCCCAGCACCACCCTTACCAAGCTGGTCTTTCTCCACAACAACATCCAGGAGTTGGAGGCCGGTGCCTTTCGGGGGCTGCCCAGCCTCGCTGAGCTGGAGGTGTCGGGCAACCCCTTGCCAGCGGTCAGCCTGGGGGTGCTGGCAGGGCTGCCCAGCCTCAGGAAGCTCTCCCTGGGTGCCAACGCCATCCGCTCCCTGCAGCCGGGGCTCTTCACTGCCACAAGCTGCCTGCAGGACCTGCGCTTGCCAGGGAACAAGATTGAGGCACTGCCCCCCAGCATCTTCCGCCCGCTCTGGCGTCTCCAGACCCTAGACCTCTCTCAGAATGTCCTGGCCGAGCTGCCAGCTGGGCTGCTGACCCCCCTTGTCACCCTCCGCATCCTCAAACTCAGTAACAACC